TTTTCTATCTGTGTCCCCATTTGGCTGACATGTCCTGTCTTGGAGTCAGAAAATTGGAGAATTGTCGCCTACTAGAAAACAGGCAGCAATACTGAAGTAAGAGAATTTGTACCTCTTCCCCGATGGAGAGATTCCACTCACTTTCTGTTCCAATGGCCACATAGGTATTTTTTTATTGTTTTCTGACCTAGATGAAAAGGTTTTTATTAAAAGTAGGAACCATTACAGTTTGACTTAAATGGACGTTTCACTGAATATATTAATCATAATATTGCACAGTAGTAGCTAGGGATGCTCGGATACCACTTTTTTAAGACCGAGTACGAGTACCGATACTTTTTTCAAGTACTCGCCAATACCAATTACCGATACTTTTTCTTAAAGGGACAGGTCGCATTTTTTTCTAAAGCAATACAAAATAATGATTTTAGGTCAGTTTCTTAATATTATGAAGAACATGAACATGAAATGAACATGAAATTAATATTTATTATGCCATTGCTAACTAAGGCTTGTATCCCCCTAGTGGGGAAAATAGATGAGCACATGTCCAGACCCCAGACCAGAACACTGTATAGTGTGGCACAAATATATCCAATTCTGCATACCTGGCTTTATATTATAAAAACCTTATAATATAAAGCCAGGTATGCAGAATTGGATATAGCCGTCCCACACTATACAATACAGTGTTCTGGGGTCTGGACATGTGCTCATCTATTTTCCCCACTAGGGGGATACAAGCCTTAGTTAGCAATATGGCTTGATCTAAATGTTCAGTTCATTTCATTATTCAATGCCTTTTTTTGTTTTATATTACAAAAGCACAAAATTGGTTAATGTAATGAAATCATTGGTGTTATGCCACTTGAGTTGGTGTGTATCGGACATAGAAGTGCTTTATTTCCATTGCTTTGAGATGCATGAGCACGTTAAAATACCATTTAAATGAACTAATATAAGCTACATTGTTCCGTCAACATGCACAGCCTGTATAATTTTATGCCAAACTGTTCAAAACTGCCACAAGCTCCTGGTAAGGTGGTCATGTGATATTAGCCATCTCCCTTCTCCATATTTCTAGCTGCACTGGTCAGTGAGTGTCTGGAGTCTTTCAGGCCTTCAGAGATATGGCTACTCCAGAATGCCCTTCGGCACTGAAACTTCAAGGCATGTTTAAACCAGGGGTGGAAACAAACTTATTTGGAAAAAAAAGGAGCCAGCTGGATTTTTTTTTCTAGGAGCCAGTTCCATTGACAATAGCTACAGAAAGCCTCAAAAGTTAAGGTGGCCATACACTATATGAATTCCGTCAGGTTCTTGATGAATTGGGCGAAATTCGCACAGTGGGTGCTGCTATTGGTGCTGCAGTTCTAACCTGCTATGTCGTCTTCTCCATCTGCTACTCTGTGTCACAGCCTAGTCATCTGCTCCATGCTGGCCTCTTCTCCCGCTGATTGGCCGATTGGATGATTGACAGGCTTCCTCACCAGTAAGGAGTGAGGACTGAGGACTTGGAGGCGGAGTTTACTTTCGGCCGTTCGCCCGTGGAGGAGGAGTTTGTGGCCATTTTCTTTGCTTGAAGATGCTATGAAGGTCCTGTGTGCGGCGGTTTCGGGTCCTTGAAGATGGCGGACACGGCACAGGTACTCGTTTTTGGTATCGGAGTATTTGCACGAGTACGAGTACTCACGCAAATACTCGTTATCGCCGCCGATAGCAATGCTTGTATCACTATCGCAGCATCCCTAGTAGTAGCATTGTTCAAATATACAAATTGTTCAAATATACAAAAGTTTCAAAGTTTAACTAAACACGCTGAAAATAGAAGCTGATTGGTTACAAGTGGCAACTGCTACAGATTCTGTCTTGTCCAGATTTGATAAATTCTTCCCAGAGAACCTTATTTTCTTTACTGCTTATCTCACTGGGTGCACAAGGGGACCCTCCCAACAACAGTCAAAATCATTGGGCTCTCCAATGTTCAGAAACATCAAAAGTTACACTTTTTGGGTACCATGATGTTATACTGCCTTTAGAATCATTATTCTGGTAACATTGTGCCACTTTGATTTAAATAACATGTCATCACTGTGATAGAATTCCATTACTCCCAACACCATCTGATAAAATGGATCCCAGGGGCTTTGATATAACAGCACTGTTCTCTCTCTGGAATCATGATATCATTTCCAGATCTTGTAATATCGCATAATTACTTTGTATGTGTTAACATAGCTGTGGTTCACTCTCTGGTTCATTCTCTAGTCCCATGCCTCTAAACTAACTTGTAAAATAGTTTGGCACTGTCAGTGCAGTATTGCAGCATTGAGGTCTTACTTTGGCTCTTATTACTCTGAATTTCACTTTCTTTGTTCCAATTGCTGTACAGCTGTAATCAGATTAGTTATTTTGTATTCTGTTTTGACCTAGCTGAAAGATTTTTATTAAAACTAAGGAGCCTTTGCAGTTTGGCTTAAATAGACCTTTCACTGCATATATTAGTCATAATTTTGCACAGCTGTAGCATTGTTCAAATATACACATAAACACAGAGAGCAGAATTAATCACAGCTGGAGCAGACAGAATCTGGAGCAGTTGCCCATGGCAACCAATCAGCTTCTCTCTTTCATTTTCAAAGTTTAACTGAAAACGCTGAAGATAGAAGCTAATTGGTTACAAGTGGCAACTGCTACAGATTCTGTCTTCTCCAGATTTGATACATTCCTCCCAGAGAACCTTAATTATTTTACTGCTTATCTCACTGGGTGCACAAGGGGACCCTCCCAAGAACAGTCAAAATCACTGGGCTCTCCAATGTGCAGAAACAGCAAAAATGACACTTTATGTGTAACATAGTGATATACTGTCTATAGAACCATGAGATTATTATGGTAACATTGTGTCACTGTGGTTAAATAGTGTATTTTAATTTAAATGACATGGCATCACTGTGATATAATTCCATTACTCCAATGCCATCTGATAAAAGGGATCCCTGGGGCTATGATATAACAGCACTGTTCTCACCCTGGAATCATTATATCATTTCCAGATCTTGTAATATCGCATACTTACTTTGTATGTGTTAATATAGCTGTGGTTCAGTCTCTAGTTCTATGGCTTTAATATAACTTGAAATACGTGAAATAGTTCTTGTGCTGTCAGTACAGGGCTGCAGCATTGGGGTCTTACTTTGGTTCTTATTACCCACAGTAACAATAACTTATACCAAACGAATGGGGCGTTTTAGGTGCCAGTGATTGTACAAACTCATGTCTGCATAAAACAATCTTTTCTTTGTGCATATTAAAACATCAATCATAAAATGATTATATGTCTCTCCACATAATTGAATTACAATTGTGTCACATGATATAGATTTCACAATTATTTAAAATATCAAAGATAAATACAGTCCTTTTCCCCTTGCTTGTTCGTATGGCAAAAAGTCTTGATGCGTTTCACATTCTATCCTTTTTTTTAGAAGCCCTATAGATCCAGAAGTGGACAGTTGCATGTTAATATAACACAACATACAAATAAACACAATATTATACATACTTTTATCTAACCCATCATTAAAGTGTATCCTAACTTAACCCCACTTACTTAACAGTCTGAGGGAGAAGAAGGAGGCGCACAGCATAACACCCAAGTGGGGGCTTTCCGAGGAGATCAAGGCAGATCCCAGCAAATTTCTTATATAAGTAACATATAATTACAATCATAGGATGGCTGCTATGAAGTAACCATCACATATAGCTTCTATAAATGTGGATTTCTTGCTTACCACCTGACTGAACTTCACATTGTATTATATAAGAAGGAGAACTAAATTGTAGGCATAAAGCGATGTTTCAAGCTTTTCAATAATCAGGATGACTAAATTGCAGGCACAGAGATGCTTCATGCTTTTCATTGAATGGGGTGACTAATTCAACCTGTAAATAAAATTAATACAGCTACTTGTGGCACCACTAATTAGGGCTTCATAAAGTTTCAAACAAACTGAAATACACAGTGCAAAACAGCAACTTATTTTCTTATTACTCCCAGATTCACTTTCTTTGTTCTACTTGCTATACAGCTGTAATCTGATTGGTTTACTACACTATTACTCTCCTTCCCTGTTGCTATGACCACCCTAAGCACGGAAAACCATCCTAGCATGGTCAGTTTGTGTCTCTCCATCTAACTTGTGGGCTTCAGGACATTGTGCCAACGCATGGCATACTCGGTTTGTTGCTGACAAGTCCCCTGCATAGCTGATACAAGTTTGTACTTTGCATATGCTGAAAGCAGGGTGTTTCTAGGGATGATAAACATCCCCTATCCCCGCCTACAGCCAGTTGACTACTTAGTATGTCCATTTAGTAAGTTTTAGTTAGCTCAATAGGGTCTTGAAACCCAAGTCTAAAAGTTCCTTGAGGAGGGTCATATTGGCAAAGCATTACCACCTTTATCTGAGGTTGAAAAGATCTATTTCCAGAGACACTCCACAGCCTGAAACTATCCCTGGAATTTAGCTACCTGCTAACATCTATGACTTGTACTATAAAACAATAAACAGGTAATTTTTTTATCGTAAGGTATACAATGAATGCTTCCATTTAAAACCAGAAAATACAGGTTGTCTTGACCCTTTCTGTTTTTCAGAAACTATTTCAAAAAATACATGGGGGGGGGGGGGGAGTATTTCGAGCACAGCAATTTGCTGGAATAAATCAGATAGGTTGGAGGAAAGACAATTGTAAGGCAATGATATCCTTTAAACAAGAGGGTGTACTTACTGTGAAATATATTTTAAAATAAATGGTTCACTATGATAGTTTCAGGCATTCTAAATACTACTAAATTGTACCTAAAATAACATAGAAATGTTGCAGTACCCCATTGCTACCTCATAGCGCCGCTGTTGAACCAATAAGGGATAGATGTGAGGGCTACATGACTCTGGGAGGAAGGCAGTATAACTGCAAGAGAAGATATAGAACATTTCTACATGAGATGAGAGTGCTTCACCTCTCATAAAGAAGAAGATATTCTGGAATTTTAACAAAATTAAGGATTACACATTCTACAAGGAATACCCCTTATATATTTCCAGCAACAGAAGGAACAGCTGTCTTAAAATGCATCAAGGAAAGACACCTCCTGGAATCAGATGGCAAGTAATGATTTCATTATTTTCCTGGCTGTGTCATTCAGTCTCTGCTCAGATTCATTATTCCATTGTAGAAGAAATGAGGAAAGGTTCAGTTGTTGGTGATTTAGTGAAAGATCTTGGAATGAGTGTGCAGGATATCACAGCAAGAAAAATCCGTATTGTGTCTGATGTTTCTGAAAAATATTTCAGTATCAATCTGGAGAGTGGAGACCTTTTTATTACTGAGAGGATAGACAGAGAGACATTGTGTGGGGCTGCAGATGATTGTGTCCTAACTTTTGATGCTGTGGCTGAGAATCCTTTAAATGTGTTTAATGTCAAGATTGAAATTCAAGATATAAATGACAATCCACCCAGATTTCTCTATGAATCAATTAGGCTAGAAATAAGGGAATATGCTTCACCAGGAGCAAAGTTTGTTTTGCAGAAAGCTGAAGATTTGGATATAGGAATTAATACACTAAAAAGCTACCGACTCAGTTCAAATGAACATTTTGTCTTAGGAGAAAGGATAAGCTCTGATGGCAGCATATTTCCTGAACTAGTTCTAGAAAAGCCTCTAGACCGAGAGAAACAAGATTACCATGAACTAATTTTATCAGCTGTCGATGGAGGAAAACCTGTACAAACAGGGAGCACACAGATTAAAATTGCAGTCATCGATATAAATGATAACAGTCCTATATTTGATCAGGAATTATATAAAATAAGTATTAAGGAAAATATACCATTGAATTCAACAGTTCTGAAGGTCAGGGCAACTGATGAAGATGAAGGTGTGAATGGACAGATTACGTATTCATTTAGTACCCTGGCAAATAAAGAGCCATCACTTTTTACCATTGATCAGCACACTGGCGAGATCAAAACATCAAAAGTCTTTCATGACGGAGACTCCTTAAAGCATAGAGTTGTGGTCATAGTAAAAGACAATGGTCACCCACCCCTCTCTGCTTCTGTGACTCTAAATCTGTTGATTGCTGATAATTTTCAGCAGATAATTCCTGAAATTAATAAACAGCCAAGCAAACCGGACTCTCAGTCAAACTTACAAATGTACCTGGTAATTGCCTTGGCATTGATTTCTTTTCTGTTTGTATTGACTGTGATAGTCACTGTTGTCTCCAAATGCAGAGAGTCCAAATCTTTGCCTTCCTTGGGACCCGTGAATACGCACTTATACCACACTGTAGATCCCAGATTCATTTCCCAGTTTAACAATGGAACACTACAGCTGCCATATACATACAATGTTTTTCCAACTTTGGATTCAATGGAAAAGGAATTTGCTTTCCTAAAAACTCAGCAGACTGTTCCGGTTGTTCCTGTAGATAGACTAATTGATGCTGATGATTCAGGAATAGGTCATGAAAACATAAGAGACCCTATACCTGATGACAGACTTTTTTTGCAGGTATGGTCAAACTATGCTATTTAAAAAATGTACTTATGCTAAATTTATGTTGTACATATGTTTGTTTTAAAGTCTGCATTGATTCATAGGGGTTAATGTTCTAAGGCTCCATTCACACGTGGTGTTAGCTTTTTCCCTAGAAAACACAAATCTTAACACACATGCGGATTTTGCATGTTTGCTGCTTTTACTATAGCCAGAACATGTGGAATCAGCCCATAAAATCAGGCTCAGACTTTTTTGCAGGATGCACGTTTTCGTACCGCACGGATGCCGCCATAGTGTGAACAATGCACATTTGAATGCATTGTTTTTATGTTTAGCGTGTTTCCACTCATGTGTGAATGGAGCCATAAGGCTAATAAGCTGGTCACTTTGCAAGGAAATTTTCCCATAACTTAGTTGATATGGGTAAAATTCACTTTGCAGGGAATACACTATCACATACAAGGACATTTTTTTTAATGCTTGCACATGATTGGTTGATGGAAGTTAACAGAACTTCACTTCATTCACTAAGCTAAAGGAAATTACTGAAATGAAAAAAACAGCCAAGCCTACCTGATGACAGTTTTATTTTGCAGGTAAATTCAAACTATGCTATTTAAGTGATTTGGATATGTTAAAAGAATGTTGTAGATATATTTGTTTTAAAGTATGCATTGATTCATAGGAGTTTGATTCATAGGATTTGAATTCATAGGAATTCATAGGAGTTGATTTTCTAAAGGCTAAAAGGGGGTTCAATTTGCAAGGGAAAGTGCACTTTGCAGGAGAATTTTCCCATAACTTAGTTGATATGGTTAAAATTCACTTTGCAGAGAATACACAATCACATACAAGGAACATTTTTAAAAAATGCTTGCACATGATTGGGTAATGGAAGTTAGCAGAACTTCACTTCATTCACTAAGCTAAAGGAAAATTCCCTTGCAAAGTCCCTTGCAAAGCGTTTGCCTTTAGTAAATCACCCCCATCTTTTTGGGGGATTAAGGGGGTGTTAAATAGTTACATAGTTGTTGAAGTTGAATGGAGACAAAGTTCCATCGAGTTCAACCTATTTGAGAGTGTGTGTGTGGGCTTGTGTTTATGTGTGTGTGCGTATGAGTTACCAAGTGTACCTGTACCCCTGTATATTTTGCTCCCTTAGAAAAGTATCTAAAAGGTTTTTGAATGTGTCAATGCTAATACAGTGATTTCATAAAGCAGTGGCGTCACAAGGGGGGTGCGGCCCGCACCCGGGTGACACCATGGAGCATTGGAGGGGTGACACCAAAATGACTGAGAGTCATTTTGGTGTCACCCCCTCTAAAAAGTCGGGCACTCGGTCATTGACCGAGAGCCCAACAGTGTCCGAAGAGAGGGGGGGGTCTCAGTGGCATACCTCATCCCGCCGGGTGAACGTCCCCTTCTCTCTCTGCTGGCGTCCATCACCAAGATGGCAGCCGGCAGGCGTCAATGAGATAACCGCGTGTGTGCGCGATGACGTCATGGCGGGGTGTCACCGGTCTCTGCTCCGGGTGACACCCGGCCTCGGGACCCCCCGGCATAAACGAATAGTTAAAGAAGAATTTTGATAATAGACTCTTGACAATAGAGCGCGGTTAATCGTTTTTTTGTAAACCGTTGTGACTATAAGATGTCCATTGTTTGTAGTCCATTATAAGACTCATGTTGCATCGCATATCTTCTTCATCTAGTTTTCTCATATTGCACAGGAGACCAAAATCCCTGTTGATATAAATGGCCACAGCCTGCAATGTGGTGAAGTTCCTCAGAAAAAAATATAAACATGGAGAAAAGTGATTTCTTTTTATTTTTTTAGCAAACATAGTTTTATTGAGGTTATTAAACATTGATACAAAAAAGATGAGCAGTATCAGCAGAATCATGTAATACAACATTAGGTACAAGGTATATATCACATATATTTGCAACGTGAGGAGATAGGATATCAACAATTAGGTGTGTAAAAGTGATTTTTTTATTGGTGTTTTGAGTTATAGCGGCACAACACTAGTGACTGACATTGTTTATTGAATAGACTATATTTTTTATACTTAACTCTAAGCAACTATTTTATGTGTATGGGAAATAATTTAAAGTTGTCATTCTAAATATGTATATATTAAATATAAGTGACCAGGCTTCTGCAACGGGTGTGGATAGAGGTTTGCATTTTAACAAAAAAATATACATTAAATTAGATGTTTAAAAAGAACACATATACAAACTGTTTTTTATCATGTCTGAAAATGTAGAGTTAAAGTACTATCTTGTTGAGTAAATAATTTTTTTTTAAGTGCTAATTGTTAAGAGCAGTAACCAAGAGCAACTAATCACAATTTCCTCAGGCTAGTACAGTTTAATTGCTTTCTAGTAAAGCTGGCCATACACCTTAAGCAGCATGAAGAGGGTAATCTCTGTTACCAGCTGTTGACTTCTGATAGCCTGCGCCTGCAGCTGCCAGAATACTTAAACAATAAACGCATCTGAGTGGCTGCAATCCCTGTTCGTCCGACAATCCTACCCATTCCTCCCCCCCTACCCCCACCCCGCGCGCTCCATCGACAAAAGTAATTTTACAAATATGAAATATGCTGTGCCAGGGTGGGCCTGCACCACCATGGCCACCAAAATTCAATAAGTGTATGGTCAACTTTGCTTTACATAAGAATCAGTACTTAAACTGGAAGACCCACCATTTGTTAATTAGCATAGAGTGTTAAAGGAGAACTATGAGGTGAGTGCTTTTCACTCACCTCACAGTTCTAGTCAACCTGTGACAATAAGACTGTCACAGGTCGGCTCAGTAGATCGGGAAATGAGCGAACACATGACGGCGTTCGCTCACTTCTCGATCCTGTCAAGGCTCTCTGACAGGGGAGGGAATCCAGCCCCTCCCCGTGACAGGGGAGGGGCTGGATTCCCCCCTCCCCGCTCCTATCCTCCAGCGCTGACTGGTGGAATGGACGGGGGAGGGGGCGGTACAACTGGCTCTGCCTCTAGATAGGCAGAGCCAGCTGTCACTCACGCAGCTGGGCGGATCCATTGTCAGGATCCGCGTCAGCTGCGGCGTCTCAGTATACTGAGCTTTGGGTGACGGGAGGACGCTAGTTTGTGTCCTCCCGTTACCCTAATGAGAACTATGGGGAAAAGCCCTAACCCCATAGTTCTCCTTTAATGCAGAGGGAAAGGGTTATAATCTCTGCCAGGTTTAATTTTGTTTGGCTGACTTCCTCTCACTTCTTTTCATGGTGTCAGAAAGTTGTGGAATTTTCCCTACTAGGACACAGCCAGCAATACTGAAGTAAGAGAATTTGTAAATCTTGCGGGGAAGAGTTATAGGAAGAGTTACAACAATACAGATTTTTGTATTGTTTTCTGACCTAGACGAAAAGGTTTTTATTAAAAGTAAGGAACCATTACAGTTTGACTTAAATGGACGTTTCACTAAATATATTAATCATAATATTGCACAGTAGTAGCATTGTTCAAATATACAAAAGTTTCAAAGTTTAACTGAACACGCTGAAGATAGAAGCTGATTGGTTACTAGTGGCAACTGCTCCAGATTCTGTCTTGTCCAGATTTGATAAATTCCTCCCAGAGAACCTTAATTATTTTACTGCTTATCTCACTGGGTGCACAAGGGGACCCTCCCAACAACAGTCAAAATCATTGGACCCTCCAAAGTGCAGAAACATCAAAAAATACACTTTTTGGGTAGCATGATGATATACTGCCTTTAGAATCATTATTCTGGTAACATTGTGTCAGTTTGATTTAAATAAAATGTCATCACTGTGATATTCCCCCCTTCCCATTACTCCCAACCCCATCTGATAAAAGGGATCCCTGGGGCCATGATATAACAGCACTGTTCTCTCATTGGAATCATGATATAATTTCCAGATCTTGTAATATCGCATAATTACTTTGTATGTATGAACATAACTGTTGGTTCAATCTCTAATTCATTCTCTAGTTCCATGCCTCTAAACTAACTTGTAAAATAGTTTGGTGCTGTCAGTACAGTATTGCAGCATTGAGGTCTTACTTTGGTTATTATTACTCTGAGATTCACTTTGTTCTAATTGCTGTATAGCTCTAATCAGATTGGTTTACTGCACTATTAGGCCTCTTTCACACAGCTGAGAGTCGGCCCGTACAGATCCGTGCAGTGTGCACGGCTGTATAGCCCTGTTGCCGAGAAGGACAGGTGGTGCGTGTAGTTGTACGCAGCAGCCTGTTCTTCTCTATGGGAGGACGCGGCCGTACGTTCACCCGAGGTGCACATCCGTGCGGGTGTGGGTGTCCGTACCTGTATGCAAACAAGATGGATCCTGTCTGCGCCCGAGCATGGACACCCACACCCGCACGGATGTGCAGATCAGGTGAGCGTACAGTGGCGTACGGCCACGTCCCCCCATGGGGAGGAACAGGATGCTGCGACCAATCACACGCAGCACCTGTCCTTCCTGGGAATGGCCCAATGCGGCCGTGCACGCCGCACGGATCTGTACGGGCCGACTCTTAGCTGTGTGAATGAGGCCTTACTCTCCTTTCCTGTTGCTATGACCACACTAAGCATTCTAGCATGGTCAGTGTGCCTTCTAACTTGGGGCTTGAGGACACAATGCTGATGCATGGCATACTCGGACTGCTACTGACACACCCCCTGCATAGCCAATGTCTGTGTGTACTTTGCCATATTCTGTAGGCAGGGAGTGTCTGGGAATATCAAGCATCCCCTATCCCCACCTACAGCAAGAGGACGATCTACTATTTACATGTAGTAAGTTTTAGGTGATATTTAGTTGGGTCTTGAACCCAAGGTTTCAAAATTCCTTGAAGAGGCGTATTGGCAAAGCGTTGACACCTCTTTTTGAAGTTTGAAAGGTCCATTTCAAGAGTCAAAACTTCACAGCCTGAAACTATCACTGAGCTACCTGCTAAAATCCATGACTTGTAGGATATAACAATAAACAGGTCAATTGCTTTTCTAAAAGTATACCATGAGTTCTTTAATTTAAAAACAGAAAATACAGGTTGTCTTGATCCTTTCTGTTATTCACCAACAATTTCAAGGAACACATGCAATATACATTGGGATAAATGCTTGTCCAAGACAGGAATTTGGTGGAATTGTATTAAGGAAATAACCTATCTCTTAAGTAAAAGGGTATGCTTACTGTGAAATATGTAAAAAAAAAAAAAAAAAATTGCTTCAGTCATTCTAAATCCTAAATGGTACCTATGAAAATAACATAGAAATGTTGCAGTACCCCATTTCTACCTCATAGCGCCGCTGTTAAACCAATAAGGGATAGATGTGAGGGCTACATGCCTCTATGAGAAAGGCAGTACAACTGCAAAAGAAGATATAGAACATTTCTGCATGAGGTGTGAGTGCTTCACCTCTAATAAGAAGATTTTCTGGAATTCTAACAAAATTAAGGATTACACGTTCTATGAGGAATTTACCTTATATTTTTCCAGCAACAGAAGGAACAGCTGTCTTAAAATGCATCAAGGAAAGACACCTCCTGGTATCAGATGGCAAGTAATGATTTCTTTATTTTCCTGGTTGTGCCATTCAGTCTCTGCTCAGATTCATTATTCCATTGTAGAAGAAATGAGGAAAGGTTCAGTTGTTGGTGATTTAGTGAAAGATCTTGGAATGAATGTGAAGGATGTCATAGCAAGAAAAATCCGTATTGTGTCTGATGTTTCTGAAAAATATTTCAGTATCAATCTGGAGAGTGGACACCTTTTTATTACAGAGAGGATAGACAGAGAGACATTGTGTGGGGCTGCAGCTGATTGTGTCCTGACCTTTGATGCTGTAGTTGAGAATCCTTTAAATGTTTTTAATGTTAAGATTGAAATTCAAGATATAAATGACAATCCACCAAGATTTCTCGATGAATCAATTAGGCTAGAAATAAGTGAATCTGCTTCACCAGGAGCAAAGTTTGTTTTGCAGAAAGCTGAAGATTTGGATATAGGAATAAATACATTGAAAGGCTACAGACTCAGTTCAAATAAGCACTTTGTCTTAGGTGAAAGGATCAGCTCTGATGACAGTATATTTCCTGAACTAGTTCTAGAAAAGCCTCTAGACCGAGAGACACAGAATTACTATGAACTAATTCTATCAGCTGTCGATGGAGGAAATCCTGTACAAACAGGCACTGCACTAATTAAGATTGCCATCACTGATTTTAATGATAATACTCCTATATTTACTCAGGGATTATATAAAATAAGTATTAAGGAAAATATACCATTTAATTCAACAGTACTGAAGGTCAGGGCAACTGATGAAGATGAAGGTGTGAATGCACAGATTGAATATTCATTTAGTACCGTGACAAATAACATTCTTCAGATGTTTGCAATTAATCGCAAAAATGGAGACATTACAACAAAGGGACATTTAGATTATGAAATGAAAAAACGATATGAAATATCAGTTCAAGCTAAGGATGGTGGGGGCCTAGCTGCCAATGCCAAAGTTTTATTAGAGATATTGGATGAGAATGACAATGTTCCTGAGATATCCCTCACCTCCCTGTCTTCTCCTATTCCTGAAGACACATCACCTGGAACTGTGGTGGCACTGATTGCAGTTCGTGATAAAGACTCAGGAGAAAATGGAGAAGTCCAGTGTCAAATTATTGGGGATATTCCATTTCAGTTAGTGTCATCAGCAAATAACTTTTATAAAATTGTTACAAAAGATGCTCTGGACAGAGAAAAAATGCCATCCTATAACATCACCATTCAAGCATCTGACAAGGGTTCACCTTCTATGTCTTCTGTAAAAGTCATCTATTTGGACTTGGCGGATGTTAATGACAATGCACCTGTTTTTGAGAAGCAGACTTACGCTGCATTTGTTCCAGAAAATAATTTACCAGGAACTTCCATATTCCATATTCAAGCAAAAGATATTGACAGTGAGGAAAATGCAAAACTGACTTACTTTGTAGTAAGTAATGACAAAGATCCCATATCCTTGCACGTATCCATTAATCCAGTGACTGGAGTCATTTACGCACAAAAGTCATATGATTATGAGCAACACAGAGAATTTACCATTCAAGTCATTGCTAAAGACAATGGTTCTCCATCACTGAACAGCAGCACAACTCTAAAAATTCATGTGGTAGACCAGAATGATAACCCACCAGTCATCTTATACCCACCAACAGACAGTGATGGCCCTGTCTTTGAGATGGTGCCTTGGTCCTCTGAACAAGGTTCCTTAGTATCTAAAGTGGTTGCAGTGGATGCAGATTCTGGACACAATGCTTGGTTATCTTATTTTTTGCAAGCTTCTGAGCCATCACTTTTTACCATTGATCAGCACACTGGGGAGATCAAAACATCAAAAGTCTTTAATGATGGAGATTCTTTAAAGTATAGAGTTGTGGCCGTAGTAAAAGACAATGGTCACCCACGGCTCTCTGCTTCTGTGACTCTAAATCTGGTGATTGGTGATAATTTTCAGCAGATAATTCCTGAAATGAACAAACAGCCAAGCAAACTGGACTCTCAGTCAAACTTACAAATGTACCTGGTAATTGCCTTGGCATTGATTTCTTTTCTGTTTTTATTGACTGTGATAGTTGCTGTTGTCTCCAAATGCAGAGAGTCCAAATCTTTGCCTTACTTTGGACCCGTGAATACGCACTTATACCATACTGTGGATCCCAGATTCCTTTCCCAGTTTAACAATGGAACATTACAGCTGCCATACACATACAATGTTTTTCCAACTCTGGATTCAATGGAAAAGGAATTTGCTTTCCTAAAAGCTCAGCAGACTGTTGCGGTTGTTCCTGTAGATAGACTAATTGATGCTGATGATTCAGGAATAGGTCATGAAAACATAAGAGACCCTATACCTGATGACAGACTTTTTTTGCAGGTATGTTCAAACTATGCTATTTAAGTAATTTACATATGTTAAATTAATGGTGTAGATATTTTTGTTTTAAAGTCTGCATTGGTTCATAGGGGTTAATGTTCTAAGACTCCATTCACACATGGCGTTTGCGTTTTCCATAGAAAACACAAATCTTAACACACGTGCGGATTTTGAATGTTTGCTGCTATTACTATAGCCAGAACGCATGGAATCCGCCCATAAAATCTGGCTCAGACTTTTTTGCAGGATGCACGTTTTCGTACCGCGCGGATGCAGCCAAAGTGTGAACAATGCACTTTGGAATGCATTGTTTTTATGTTTAGCGTGTTTCCACTCATGTGTGAATGGAGCCATAAGGCTAATCAGCTGTTTACTTTGCAAGGGAATTTTCACATAACTTAGTTGATATGGGTAAAATTCACTTTGCAGTGAATACACTATCACATACAAGGAAATTTTTTTTAAATGCTTGCACATGATTGGTTGATGGAAGTTAGCAGAACTTCACTTTATTCACTAAGCTAAAGGAAATTCCTGAAATGAAAAAAAACAGCCAAGTATAGCTGATGACAGTCTTATTTTGCAAGTATATTCAAACTATGCTATTTAAGTGATTTAGATATGTTAAAACAATGCTGTAGATATATTTTTTTTAAGTATGCGTTGATTCATAGGAGTTTGATTCATAGGAGTTGAATTCATAGGAGTTGATTTTCTAACGGCTAATAGGGTGTTCACTTTGCAAGGGAAAGTGCACTTTGCAAGATAATGTTCCCATAACTTAGTTGATATGGTTAAAATTCACTTTGCCGAGAATACACAATCACATACAAGGAAAATGGTTAAAAAATGCAAGCACATGATTGGGTAACGCAAGTTAGCAGAACTTCGCTTCATTCACTAAGCTAAAGGAAAATTCCCTTGCAAAGTCCCTTGCAAAGAGTTACCGAGTGTACCTTTACCCCTGCAGATTTTGCTCCCTTAGAAAAGTATCTAAAAGGTTTTTGAATGTGTCAATGCGATTACAGTGATTTAATAAAGCAGTGGCCTCACAAGAGAGGTCTGGGGGGTGCGGCCCACACCCAGGTGACACCATTGGAGGGGTGGCACCAAAATGACTGACAGTCATTTAGGTGTCACCCCCTCTAAAAAGTCGGGCACTCGGTCATGGACCTATATGAAAAGGTTTTTAATAAACGTAAGGAACCATTACAGTTTGACTTAAATGGACATTTGACTGAATATATTAATCATAATATTGCACAGTAGTAGCATTGTTCAAATATACAAAAGTTTCAAAGTTTAACTGAACACGCTGAAGATAGAAGCTGATTGATTACTAGTGGCAACTGCTCCAGATTCTGTCTTGTCCAGATTTGATAAATTCCTCCCAGAGAACCTTATTTTCTTTACTGCTTATCTCACTGGGTGCACAAGGGGACCCTCCCAACAACAGTCAAAATCATTGGGCTCTCCAATGTTCAGAAACATCAAAAGTTACACTTTTTGGGTACCATGATGTTATACTGCCTTTAGAATCATTATTCTGGTAACATTGTGCCACTTTGATTTAAATAACATGTCATCACTGTGATAGAATTCCATTACTCCCAACACCATCTGACAAAAGGGATTCCTGTGGCTATGATATAACAGCACTGTTCTCACCCTGGAATCATGATATCATTTCCAGATCTTGTAATATTGCATACTTGCTTTGTATGTGTTAACGTAGCTGTGGTTCTCTCTCTAGTTCATTCTCTTGTTCCATGCCTCTAAAGTAACTTGTAAAATAGTTTGGCGCTGTCAGTACAGTATTGCAGCATTGAGGTCTTACTTTGGTTATTATTACTCTGAGATTCACGTTGTTCTAATTGCTGTATAGCTGTAATCAGATTGGTTTACTACACTATTAGGCCTCATGTAAACGTATCGGGTTGTTGCCGGGAAGGACAGGTGCTGCGTGTAGTTGTACGCAGCAGCCTGTTCTTCTCTATGGGAGGACGCAGCCGTACGCTCACCCGAGCTGCACATCCGTGCATGTACGGGTGTCCGTACCTGTACGCAGACAAGATGGATCCTGTCTGCGTCCGAGCATGGACACCCGCACGGATGTGCAGATCAGGTGAGCGTATAGTGGCGTACGGCCGCGTCCTCCCATAGAGAGGAACAGGCTGCTGCGTACAATCACACGCAGCACCTGTCCTTCCTGGGAACGGCCCAATACGGCTGTGCACGCCGCACGGATCTATACGGGCTGACTTTTAGCTGTGTGAATGAGGCCTTACTCTCTTTTCCTGTTGCTATGACCACACTAAGCATTCTAGCATGGTCAGTTTGCCTTCTAACTTGGAGCTTCAGGAAACAATGCTGATGCATGGCATACTCGGACTGCTGCTGACACACCCCCTGCATAGCCAATGTGAGTGTGTACTTTGCCATATGCTGTAGGCAGGGAGAGTCTGGGGATGTCAATCATCCCGTATCCCCTCCTACAGCAAGAGGACTATCTACTATTTCCATGTAGTAAGTTTTAGGTGATTTAGGTTTCCAAATTCCTTGAAGAGGCGTATTGTCAAAGCGTTGACACCTCTTTTTGAAGTTTGATCCATTCGTCCATTTCAAGAGTCAAAACTTCACAGCCTGAAACTATCACTGAGCTACCTGCTAAAATCCATGACTTGTAGGATATAACAATAAACAGGTAATTTGCTTTTATAAAGATATGCCATGAATTCTTTAATTTAAAACCACAATATACAGGTTGTCTTGACCCTTTCTGTTATTCACCAACAATTTCAAGGAACACATGCAATATACATTGGGATAAATGCTTTTCCAAGACAGGAATTTGCTGGAATTGTTCAGATAGTTTTGAGTAAAGAAAATTGTTTTAAGGAAAAGGGTGTGCTTACTGTGAAATATGTAAAAAAAAACTTAATAGCTTCAGTCATTCTAAATAATCCTAAATGGTACCTTTGAAAATAACATATAAATGTTGCAGTACCCCATTTTTACCTCATAGCGCCGCTATTAAACCAATAAGGGATAGATGTGAGGGCTACATGCCTCTATGAGGAAGGCAGTACAACTGCAAGAGAAGATATAGAACATTTCTGCATGAGATGTGAGTGCTTCACCTCTAATAAGAAGATTTTCTGGAATTCTAACAAAATTAAGGATTACACATTCTACGAGGAATTCCCCTTATATATTTCCAGCAACAGAAGGAACAGCTGTCTTAAAATGCATCAAGGAAAGACACTTCCTGGTATCAGATGGCAAGTAATGATTTCATTATTTTCCTGGTTATGTCATTCAGTCTCTGCTCAGATTCATTATTCCATTGTAGAAGAAATGAGGAAAGGTTCAGTTGTTGGTGATTTAGTGAAAGATCTTGGAATGAGTGTGAAGGATGTCACAGCAAGAAAAATCCGTATAGTGTCTGGTGTTTCTGAAAAATATTTCAGTATCAATCTGGAGAGTGGAGACCTTTTTATTACAGAGAGGATAGACAGAGATACATTGTGTGGGGCTGCAGCTGATTGTGTCCTGACCTTTGATGCTGTAGTTGAGAATCCTTTAAATGTGTTTAATGTCAAGATTGAAATTCAAGATATAAATGACAATCCACCAAGATTTCTCGATGAATCAATTAGGCTAGAAATAAGTGAATCTGCTTCACCAGGAGCAAAGTTTGTTTTGCAGAAAGCTGAAGATTTGGATATAGGAATTAATGCACTCAAAAGCTACAGACTCAGTTCAAATGAACATTTTGTCTTAGGAGAAAGGATCAGCTCTGATGGCAGTATATTTCCTGAACTAGTTCTAGAAAAGCCTCTAGATCGAGAGACACAGAATTACCATGAACTAATTCTATCAGCTGTCGATGGAGGAAAACCTGTACAAACAGGCACTGCACTAATTAAGATTGCCATCACTGATTTTAATGATAATACACCTATATTTGCCCAAGATTTATATAAAATAAGTGTTAAGGAAAATACAGCATGGAATTCAACAGTTCTAAAGGTCAGGGCAACTGATGAAGATGAAGGTGTGAATGCACAGATTACATATTCATTTAGTACTTTGGCAAATAACATTCTCCAGATGTTTACAATTAATCGCAAGACTGGAGACATTACAACAAAGGGTCATTTAGATTATGAAATGAAAAAACATTATGATATATCTGTAAAAGCTATGGATGGTGGGGGCCTGGCTGCCCATGCCAAAGTTTTATTAGAGATATTGGATGAGAATGACAATGTTCCTGAGATATCCCTTACCTCCCTGTCTTCTCCCATTCCTGAAGACACATCACATGGAACTGTGGTGGCACTGATTGAAGTTCGTGATAAAGACTCAGGAGAAAATGGAGAAGTTCAGTGTCAAATTATTGGGGATATTCCATTTCAGTTAGTGTCATCAGCAAATAACTTTTATAAAATTGTTACAAAAGATGCTCTGGACAGAGAAAAAATGCCATCCTATAACATCACCATTCAAGCATCTGACAAGGGTTCACCTTCTATGTCTTCTGTAAAAGTCATCTATTTGGACGTGGCGGATGTTAATGACAATGCACCTGTTTTTGAGAAGCAGACATACACTGCATTTGTTCCAGAAAATAATTTACCAGGAGCTTCCATATTCCATATTCAAGCAAAAGATATTGACAGTGAGGAAAATGCAAAACTGACTTACTGTGTAGTAAGTAATGGCAAAGATCCCATATCCTTGTACATATCTATTAATCCAGTGACTGGAGTCATTTACGCACAAAAGTCATATGATTATGAGCAGCACAGAGAATTTAACATTCAAGTCATTGCTAAAGACAATGGTTCTCCATCACTGAACAGCAGCACAACTCTAAAAATTCATGTGGTAGACCAGAATGATAACCCACCAGTCATCTTATACCCACCAACAGACAGTGATCGCCCTGTCTTTGAGATGGTATCTTGGTCCTCTGAACAAGGTTCCTTAGTATCTAAAGTTGTTGCAGTGGATGCAGATTCTGGACACAATGCTTGGTTATCTTATTTTTTGCAAGCTTCTGAGCCATCACTTTTTACCATTGATCAGCACACTGGGGAGATCAAAACATCAAAAGTCTTTAATGATGGAGATTCGTTAAAGCATATAGTTGTGGTCATAGTAAAAGACAATGGTCACCCACCCCTCTCTGCTTCTGTGACTCTAAACCTGATGATTGCTGATAATTTTCAGCAGATAATTCCTGAAATGAACAAACAGCCAAGCAAACTAGACTCTCAGTCAAACTTACAAATGTACTTGGTAATTGCCTTGGCATTGATTTCTTTTTTGTTTTTATTGACTTTGATAGTTGCTGTCGTCTCCAAATGCAGAGAGTCCAAATCTTTGCCTTCGTTGGGACCCGTGAATACGCACCTATACCACACTGTAGATCCCAGATTCCTTTCCCAGTTTAACAATGGAACATTACAGCTGCCATACACATACAATGTTTTTCCAACTCTGGATTCAATGGAAAAGGAATTTGCTTTGCTAAAAACTCAGAAGAATGTTCCGGTTGTTCCTGTAGATAGACTAATTGATGCTGATGATTCAGGAATAGGTCGTGAGTACATAAGAGACCCTATACCTGATGACAGTCTTTTTTTGCAGGTATGTTCAAATTATGCTATTTAAGTGATTTACATATGCTAAATTAATGTTGTAGATATGTTTGTTTTAAAGTCCGCATTGATTCATAGGGGTTAATGTTCTAAGGTTCCATTCACACATGGCGTTTGCGTTTTCCCTAGAAAACACAAATCTTAACACACACACGGATTTTGCATGTTTGCTGCTATTACTATAGCCAGAACATGTGGAATCCGCCCATAAAATCGGGCTCAGATCTTTTTGCAGGACGCACGTTTTCGTACCGCGCGGATGCCGCCAAAGTTTGAACAATGCACATTGGAATGCATTGTTTTTTATGTTTAGCGTGTTTCCGCTCATGTGTGAGTGGAGCCATAAGGCTAATAAGCTGTTTACTTTGCAAGGAAATTTTCCCATAAGTTAGTTGATATGGGTAAAATTCACTTTGCAGGGAATACACTATCACATACAAGGAAATTAAAAAAAAATGTTTGCACATGATTGGTTGATGGAAGTTAGCAGAACTTCACTTCATTCACTAAGCTAAACGAAATTCCTGAAATGACAAAAACAGCCATGTATACCTCATGACAGTCTTATTTTGCAGGTATATTCAAACTATGCCATTTAAGTGATTTGGATATGTTAAAAGAATGTTGTAGATATATTTGTTTTAAAGTATGCATTGATTCATAGGAATTGAATTCATAGGAATTCATAGGAGTTGATTTTCTAAAGGCTAATAGGGTGTTCACTTTGCAAGGGAAAGTGCACTTTGCAAGATAATTTTCTCATAACTTAGTTGATATGGTTAAAATTCATTTTGCAGAGAATACACAATCACATACAAGGAACATTTTTAAAAAATGCTTGCACATGATTGGGTAATGGAAGTTAGCAGAACTTCACTTCATTCACTAAGCTAAAGGAAAATTCCCTTGCAAAGTCCCTTGCAAAGCGTTTGCCTTTAGTAAATCACCCCCATCGTTTTGGGGAATCAGAGGGGATGTTACATAGTTGTTGAAGTTGAATAGAGACAAAGTTCTATCAAGTTCAACCTATTTGAGAGTGCGTGTGTGTGGGCTTGTGTTTATGTGTGTGCATGTTTGCGTATGAGTTACCAAGCATACCTGTATCTCCGTATATTTTGCTCCCTTAGACAAGTATCTAAAAGGTTTTTTAATGTGTCAATGCTAATACAGTGATTTCATAAAGCAGTGGCATCACAAGGGGGGTACAGCCCGCACCCGGGTGACACCATTGGAGGGGTGACACCAAAATGACTGACAGTCCCTTTGGTGTCACCACCTCTAAAAAGTCAGACACTCGGTCATGGACCAAGAGCCCGACAGTGTCAGGAGGGAGGAGGAGACCCGGCGGCATACCTCATCCCTCCGGGTGAACGTCCCCTCCTCTCTCTGCCAGCGCCATCACCAAGATGACCGCCACAGGCGTCATGATGACCCCTCGTGTGCAATGATGTCATCACGCATGTTCGTGGTGACGTCACGCGCGATGACGCCACAGCGGGGTGTCACCTGGTCTCGTTTCTGGGTGACACCCGACATCGGGACGCCCCTGCATAAAGGAATAGTTTAGAGAAGAATGTTGATAATAGAATCTTGATAATAGAAAGCGGTCAGTCATTTTTTGTAAACCATTGTGACTATAAGATGTCCATTGTTTGTAGTCCATTATAAGACTCATGTTGTATCGCATATCTTCTTTAGTTTTCTCATATTGCACAGGAGACCAAAATCCCTGTTGATATAAATGGCCATAGCCTGCAATGTGGTGAAGTTTCTCAGAAAAAAATATAAACATAAAGAAAAGTGATTTATTTTTTTTATTGGTGTTTTGAGTTATAGCGGCACAACACTAGTGAATGGCATTGTTTATTGAATAGACTATATTATGTATACTTAACCCTAAGCAAGTATTTTATGTTTATGGGAAATAATTTCAAGTTGTCATTCTAAATACTGTATGTATATATTAAATATAAGTGACCAGGCTTCTGCACAGGGTGTGGATAGGAGTTTGCATTTTAACAAAATATACATTAAATGTGATGTTTAAAAAGAACACATATACAAACTGTTTTTTCTCATGTCTGAAAATGTAGAGTTAAAGAACTATCTTGTTGAGTAAATAATTCTTTTTTTTAAGTGCTAATTGTTAAGAGCAGTAACCAAGAGCAACTAGTCACAATTTCCTCAGGCTAGTACAGTTTAATTGCTTGCTAGTAAAGCTGGACATACACCTTACGCAGCATGAAGAGGGTAATCTCTGCTACCAGCTGTTGACTTCTGATAGCCAGCGCCTGCAGCTGCCAGAATACTTAAACAATAAATGCATCTGAGCGGCGGCATTCCCTGTTCGGCCGACAATCCACCATGGCCATCAAAATTCAATGAGTATATGGTCAACTTTGCTTTACATAAGAATCAGCACTTAAACTAGAAGACCCACCATTTGTTAATTAGCATAGAGTGTTAATGCAGAGTAAATGGGTTATAAGCTCTGCCAGGTTTAATTTTGTGTCAGTGTCCCCAATTGACTTACTTATTGTCATGGTGTCAGAAAGTTATGAAATTTTCCCTACTAGGACACAGGCAGCAACACTGAAGTAAGAGAATTTGTAACTCTTCCCCCGCTGGAGAGATTCCACTCACTTTCTGTTCCAATGGCCACATGGGTATTTTTGCATTGTTTTCTGACCTAGATGAAAAGGTTTAATTAAAAGTAAGGAACCATTACAGTTTGACTTAAATGGACGTTTCACTGAATATATTAATCATAATATTGCACAGTAGTAGCATTGTTCAAATATACAAAAGTTTCAAAGTTTAACTGAACACGCTGAAGATAGAAGCTGATTGGTTACTAGTGGCAACTGCTCCAGATTCTGTCTTGTCCAGATTTGATAAATTCTTCCCAGAGAACCTTAATTATTTTACTGCTTATCTCACTGGGTGCACAAGGGGACCCTCCCAAGAACAGTCAAAATCATTGGGCTCTCCAATGTGTAGAAACATCAAAAATTACACTTTTTGGGTAGCATGATGATATATTGCCTTTAGAATCATAAGATTATTCTGGTAACATTGTGTCACTTTGATTTAAATAACATGTCATCACTGTGCTAGAATACCATTACTCCCAACCCCATCTGATAAAAGGGATTCCTGGGGCTATGATATAACAGCACTGTTCTCTCCCTGCAATCATTTCCAGATCTTGTAATATCGCAGAATTACTTTGTATGTGTTAACATAGCTGTGGATCAATCTATGGTTCATTCTCTAGTTCCATGCCTCTAAAGCAGGGGTGCCCACAAGGTCGATCGCGATCTACCAGTGGTAGATCGCCATGTCCTCTCCTCCCGCCGCTTCTCTGGATCCCCGCTGCTCTCCCCAGCGGGGATCCGAGAAGAAGTGAAGGAACCGGCGGCGGGGGAGGGCGGAGGACGGAGCCGCTGTCACTAACTAATGCAGAGCAGTGAGGAGAGAGAGAGACGCTCGGCCAGGATCTGACAGCCGGCGCCTCTCTCTCCCCTCACTGCTCGTCCGTTCTGTCACAGCGCCCCCCCCCCGCGGCTCGTCGTATCCCCCGCTGCCTCTGCCCGGGAGAGCAGGGGGATCCAGAGAAGTTGCAGCCCCCCTGTGCGTGGACGAGCGGCAGAGGATCGGTACATGTCACTAGTATGTACCAATCCTCTGTGCAGGACAAACACTGGAGCGATCGGCTGATCACTCCAGTGTTTGTAAATAACTGGGGACACATAGTACTATGTGTCCCCAGTTATAAATGAATGAACAGGATGTGATTTACATCACCTCCTCTTCAGTCATAAGTTTCTCAATGGGGAAAAGCACTCTGTACAGAGGCTCCTCCCCATTCAGAAACTGCTTGATAGTAAAATATTTTCTGAATGAATGGGAAGCCTCTGTGCTTTCCATTCATTTAGAATAGAGGCTGCAGAAAAAGAGATTGAGGACTTTGTGTCCTCAATTTCTTTTTCTATTTTAAAAAGGAAATATCAGGGGGCTTTTTAGACCCCTAATATTTCCCCGAAGCCCCCCAAGAGTAAAAAAAAATATGAAAATTTAAAATAAATAAAAATAAATAATGAAAATAAAATTAAAAAACTGTTTTTTTTTCCTTGCCTCAGGCGCAAAGGGAGCTGGCTATGGCTATGCTCCCGTGGTGCTCGTGCGGCTGCCGGCTGAATGTGTCAGACGCTGCAGATGGAAAGGTGCAGGACACCCCATGTGCAACGTCGGCCACACGAGCACCACGGGAGGACAGGACGCCGGGACCTGTAATGTACTGGAATGCACTGGAATGTAAGCAGGCCGACTCCCTGTGTTCCGGTGCGGGAGGGGGTGTGGAGCTGTATTGAAGTCAATGGCATCGCCCACAGTGCGATCGCCCGCACTCGGAACGCAGGCACATTAGTGCCTGCATTCCGGTCCAGTGCGATCTGCAAAAATAGTGCTTGTAGCATTTTTGCGGATCGCACTGGACTGGAACACAGGCACTAATGTGGGCGAGGGGCCTGCCTGCGCAACCTACGCCCCCTCCCGCCCCTGAATGCAGGTGTTTTTTCGTTGGTAGATCTCAATGAGCTCGTCATTTGAAAAGTAGATCTCCAGACGAAAAATATTGGCCGCCCCTGCTCTAAAGTAACTTGTAAAATCGTTTGGTGCTCTCAGTCCACTATTGCAGCATTGAGGTCTTACTTTGGTTCTTATTACTCTGAGATTCCCTTTCCTTGTTCTAATTGCTGTACAGATGTAATTATATTGGTTTACTACACTATAAGGCTCTTTCACACAGCTAAGAGTCAGCCCTTACATATCCGTGCAGTTGGGCCGTTCCCAGGAAGGACAAGTGCTGCGTGTGATTGTACGCAGCAGCCTGCTCTTCTCTATGGGAGGACGCGGCCATACGCTCACCCGAGCTGCACATCCGTGCGGGTGTCCGTACTCATACACAGACAAGAAGGGTCCGCACCAGCACGGATGTGCAGCTCGAGTAAGCGTACAGCGGCGTACGGCCACGTCCTCCCATAGGGAAGAATAGGCTGCTGTGTACCATCACACACAACACCTGTCCTTCCTGGGATCTGTGCAGGCTGGCTCTTAGCTGTGTGAATGAGGCCTTACTCTCCTTTCCTGTTGCTATGACCAAACTAAGCATTCTAGCATGGTCAGTTTGCCTTCTAACTTGGAGCTTCAGGAAACAATGCTGATGCATGGCATACTCAGACTGCTGCTGACACACCCCCTGCATAGCCAATGCGAGTGTTTACTTTGCCATATGCTGTAGGCTAGGGATGTCAATCATCCCCTATCCCCTCCTACAGCAAGAGGACTATCTACTATTTCCATGTAGTAAGTTTTAGGTGATATTCAGGTGATATTCACCCCCTATCCCCTCCTACAGCAAGAGGACTATCTACTATTTCCATGTAGTAAGTTTTAGGTGATATTCAGTTGGGTCTTGAAGCCAAGGTTTCCAAATTCCTGGAAGAGGTGTATTGCCAAAGCGTTGACACCTCTTTTTGAAGTTTGAAAGGTCCATTTCAAGAGTCAAATCTTCACAGCCTGAAACTATCACTGAGCTACCTGCTAAAATCTTTGACTCTTAGGATATAACAATAAACATGTAATTTGCTTTTCTAAAGGTATGCCATGAAATATTTTATTTAAAACCAGAATATACAGGTTGTCTTGATCCTTTCTGTTATTCACCAACAATTTCAAGGAACACATGCAATATACATTGGGATAAATGTTCTTCCATGACAGGGATTTTCTGGAATTGTTCAGATAGTTTTGAGTAAAGAAAATTGTATTAGGCAATAACCTATCTCTTAAGTAAATGGGTGTGCTTACAGTGAAATATATAAAACAAAATAATAATAGCTTCAGTCATTCTAAATAATCCTAAATGGTACCTATGAAAATAACATAGAAATGTTGCAGTACCCCATTTCTACCTCATAGCGCCGCTGTTAAACCAATAAGGGATAGATGTGAGGGCTACATGACTCAATAAGGAAGGCAGTAAAACTGCAATAGAAGGTATAGAGCATTTCTGCATGAGGTGTGAGTGCTTCACCTCTAATAAGAAGATTTTCTGAAATTGTAACAAAACTAAGGATTACACATTCTACAAGGAATACCCCTTATATTTTTCCAGCAACAGAAGGAACATCTGTCTTTAAAATGCATCAAGGAAAGACACCTCCTGGTATCAGATGGCAAGTAGTGATTTCATTATTTTCCTGGTTGTGTCATTCAGTCTCTGCTCAGATTCATTATTCCATTGTAGAAGAAATGAGGAAAGGTTCAGTTGTTGGTGATTTAGTGAAAGATCTTGGAATGAGTGTGAAGGATATCACAGCAAGAAAAATCCGTATTGTGTCTGATGTTTCTGAAAAATATTTCAGTATCAATCTGGAGAGTGGACACCTTTTTATTACAGAGAGGATAGACAGAGAGACATTGTGTAGGGCTGCAGCTGATTGTGTCCTGACCTTTGATGCTGTGGCTGAGAATCCTTTAAATGTGTTTAATGTTAAGATTGAAATTCAAGATATAAATGACAATCCACCAAGATTTCTCGATGAATCAATTAGGCTAGAAATAAGTGAATCTGCTTCACCAGGAGCAAAGTTTGTTTTGCAGAAAGCTGAAGATTTGGATATAGGAATTAATACACTAAAAAGCTACAGACTCAGTTCAAATGAACATTTTGTCTTAGGAGAAAGGATCAGCTCTGATGGCAGTATATTTCCTGAACTAGTTCTAGAAAAGCCTCTAGACCGAGAGACACGAGATTACCATGAACTAATTCTATCAGCTGTCGATGGCGGAAAACCTGTACAAACAGGGAGCACACTAATTAAAATTGCAGTTGTTGATATAAATGATAATACTCCTATATTTACTCAGGAATTATATAAATTAAGTATTAGGGAAAATATACCATTGAATTCAACAGTTCTGAAGGTCAGGGCAACTGATGAAGATGAAGGTGTGAATGCACAGATCACATATTCATTTAGTACTCTGGCAAATAACATTCATCAGATGTTTACAATTAATCACAAGAATGGAGACATTACAACAAAGGGACATTTAGATTATGAAATTAATAAAAACTATGATATATCTGTAAAAGCCATGGATGGTGGGGGCCTGGCTGCCCATGCCAAAATTTTAGTAGAGATATTGGATGAGAATGACAATGTTCCAGAGATATCCCTCACCTCCCTGTCTTCTCCTATTCCTGAAGACACATTGCCTGGTACTGTGGTAGCACTGATTGCAGTTCGTGATAAAGACTCGGGAGAAAATGGAGAAGTCCAGTGTCAAATTATTGGGGATATTCCATTTCAGTTAGTGTCATCAGCAAATAACTTTTATAAAATTGTTACAAAAGATGCTCTGGACAGAGAAAAAATGCCATCCTATAACATTACCATTCAAGCATCTGACAAGGGTTCACCTCTTATGTCTTCTGTAAAAGTCATCTCTTTTGACTTGGCGGATATTAATGACAATGCACCTGTTTTTGGGAAGCAGACATACACTGCATTTGTTCCAGAAAATAATTTACCAGGAGCTTCCTTATTCCATATTCAAGCAAAAGATATTGACAGTGAGGAAAATGCAAAACTGACTTACTTTGTAGATCCCATATCCTTGCACGTATCTATTAATCCAGTGACTGGAGTCATTTACGCACAAAAGTCATATGATTATGAGCAACACAGAGAATTTAACATTCAAGTCATTGCTAAAGACAATGGTTCTCCATCACTGAACAGCAGCACAACT